AACAGAAATAGCAACAAAAAATTCAAAAGAAATGCATGTCTAACAAATGATGCACTGATTTGAATATTCATGAGGAAAATAAGTATTTGATCCCCTATCATTCAGCAGGATTTCTGGCTACCAGGTGTCTTTCATACAGGTAACAAACTGAGATTAGAAGCAGTCTCTTAAAGGGAGTGCTGCTAATCTCATTTTGTTACCTGTATAAAAGACGCCTGTCCACAGGAGCAATCAAACAATCAGATTCCAAACTCTACACCATGGCAAAGACCAAAGAGCTGTCCAAGGATGTCAGGGACAAAATTGTAAACCTACACAAGGCTGGACTGGGCTACCAAACTATCGCCAAGCAGCTTGGTGAGAAGGTGACAACAGTTGGTCCAATCATTCGCAAATGGAAGAAACACAAAACTGTCAGTCTCCATAAGTCTGGTGCACCATGCAAGATCTCACCTCGTCGAGTGTCAATGCTCATGACAACAGTGAGGAATCATCCCAGAACTACACGTGAGGATCTTGTCAGTGATCTCCAGGTAGTTGGGACCACAGTCACCAAGAAAACAATTGGTAACACACTACGCCGACAAGGATTGAAATCCTGCAGTGCCCGCAAGGTCCCTCTGCTCAAGAAACCACATGTCCAGGCCCATCTGAAGTTTGCCACTGAACATCTGAATGATGCAGAGGAGGACTGGATGAAAGTGTTGTGGTCAAATGAGACCAAAATTGAGCTCTTTTACATCAACTTAACTCGCCTTGTTTGGAGGAGAAGGAATGCTGCCTATGACCCCAAGAACACCATCCCAACTGTCAAACATGGTGGTGGAAACATTCTGCTTTGGGGATGTTTTTCTGCTAAGGGGACAGGACAACTGAACTGCATCAGGGACGATGGATGGGGCAATGTACCATCAAATCTTATGTGAGAACCTTCCTCCCTCAGCCAGGGTATTGAAAATGGGTCGTGGATGGGTTTTCCAGCACGACGATGACCCAAACACATGGCCAAGGCAACAAAGGAGTGGCTCAAGAAGAAGCATATTAAGGTCCTGGAGTGGCCTAGCCAGTCTCCAGACCTTAATCCAATTGAAAATCTGTGGAGGGAGCTGAAATTTCAAGTTGCCAAACGTTAGCCACCAAATCTTAATGACTTGGAGAGGATCTGCCAAGAGGAGTGGACCAAAATCCCTCCTGAGATGAGTGCAAACCTGGTGGCCAACTACAGGAAATGTCTGACCTCTGTGATTGCCAACAAGGGATTTGCCACCAAGTACTAAGTCATGTTTTGTGAAGGGGATCAAATACTTATTTCCCTAATGAACTTGCAAATCAGTACATAATTTGTTAGAGATGCATTTCTTTTGAGTTTGCTGCTATTCTGTCTCTCAGTGTTACAATACACCTACCATTGGATTTTTAGACTGATCATTATATATATAGTATATATATACTAAAAAAAAAATAGTGCCATATGTAACTCAATTTCATAAACAATCTATACTTATTAATCCCACAGAATTTAAATAACAAATAAAAGTAAAAAATAAAATCATACACCCCTCCCTATTAATTAAATTATATTGCATAATCGGAAATTATTTGCAAATTAATAGCATAAGCTACCCCAAAGACTCAAACTGATCCACAGACCAGAAGGTTCTTCAGAAACATAAATAGGGTAATGTTTCTGAGGAACCTTCTGGTCTGTGGATTAGTTTGAGTCAGAAGGTGAACTATCCGGGTCCAATGCACAAGACGAACGGGGGTACCCAGAAGATTCCGGAGAGGTGGCTGTTGGGCCCAGTCCTGGGCAGCCTGGTGAATGCATATCTGTCTTGTCTTCCGTGTTTGTACAGTCCATTTCCACTGCAGTTGGGTCTGATGTAAGACTGCAGGACCTGTTAGCCGCTTTCAGAACTTGGTCCACCAGTTTGAGCTCGGTGGAGGGGTCAGGACCTGCTCAGCAGGGAACCAGCGGACAGATCGCTGCTGAGCAAAGACCGCCTCGTGTGAAATGGGCCTTATTAACATCTTCTGTTTTGTCCCCATCTCCTTTGCTCAGTCTCCATGTACTCTCTGACTGCCCCATGTCCCCTTCTGTCCCCATCTCTCATTTTCCCTTGCACTGTCCCTATGCCCCCTTCTCTGTCTCCATCTATTCCTCATGTGTCCATGATATACATGGAACAGGCTTTATAATAAGCACAGACAGTCAGACATAATAAAGCACTTTTTGCCCTACCTTTCATTGAAAATCCTTGGCACTCCTACTCCTGTGCCTGCTGGCCGCTCCTCCTAGTCTCACTCAGCTCCTCCCCCTCATCTCCATGCCTCCAGTTTAGTGGCGATTGTCTCTGTGCTGGACTGGAGGACTGCTTCTGCTACCGCCCAGGGAAGAGGGGCTTTTTTATAGTGGGGCTGAAGACAGAGACGGGGGTGTGTTGGCAATCATCTGCTCTTCATGTGGAAGAGAGGAGGAGGAGTAGGGGTGGGAGAGCAAGTGGACATTAGAGACAGTGGAGGCAACGGCTGAAGTTCACAGCACCATGGTCTGTGCTGCACTGCCATCTGTCACCGTGCGCCCTGTCTGTTGTAATGTGCTGAGCTAGATAAGTGTGTGAGCAGAGCCAGTGCCAGCATAGGCACTTCTCGAGGGACCCCCTCTCCTGGCGCCCTAAGGTGGCTGCCCTAGCTGCCTTATGCTAGTGTTAGTCCTGCCTCCCAGATTCTGCATCTCAATTTCAGTCTCCATCTTCCACCCGCACCCGCCTGCTACTAAGCAGGCTCTCTTATTTTAAGGGTTGTCCTGGCCCCTTTCCAACCTCCTGTTGGGAATTGGCCAGGTTCCCTCAAGAATACAGGCCAACAACTCCTCGGATTCACCCACTGCCTCTAGGCCTTCCTCCAAAGCTCAAATTCCAGAGAAGCTGGCCTACAGAGCCTCTCAACCCTGACCACATTTTGACCCCACACCTGGGCTGCTGCTCAGCCCCTATCTAACCATTTGAGTCTAACTACCTAGGAGGGTGTTACATTAGGTTGGGGCAGGGTATGCCTCTCTGAAGAGAAGGGTTTTCGATGGTTGTCTAAAAGTGGACAGAGTAGGAGAATAGGACTGAGCCATCAGACAGAGGGAGTTCCAGAGGATGGGAGAGGCTCAGGAGAAGTCCTGGAAGTGAGCATGGGAGGAGGTGACAGGGGAGCTGGAGAGCAGGGGGTCTTGGGAGGAACGAACAGGTTGGTATTTTGAGACTAGATTAGTGATGTAGCTGGGGACATAGTTGTGGATGGCTTTCTAACTTATTGTTCGTATTTTGAATTTAGTTTTGTTGGGTGAGCAGAAGCCAGTGGATGAATTGACAGAGAGGGGTAGCAGACTCTGAGTGGTTGGTAAGGATGAGTATGGCAGCAGCATTCATGATGGATTGGAGGGGGAATAGCCTATGTAAAGGGAAGCCAATGAGGAGGGAGTTGCAGAAGTCTAGGCAAGAGATGACCAGGAAGTGGACTAGGACTTTGCGGTGTCATTGATTAGGAAGGAGCATATTTTAGAGATCTTTCGGAGGTTGAGGCATCAGACTTTGGGCACTGATTAAATGAGGGGCCGAAAGGATAGTTCAGAGTCCAGGATTACACCTAGTACCTTGGCATGTGGGATGGGCTGTCTTGACAGAGAAGTCAGGGGAAGGGGCATGTGGGGAGAAAATACCATAATAATCACAACAAAGAATGCAAAAAAGAAATTGCAGCTAAACTCCAGACCAGTATATTCATGTACTCCAGCTAAATATTTATTTAAAAAATGTTAAATGCATTTTACACAACTGACATAATGAATCCTGAATCTTGCTTGATATTGGTTCTCTTTTATCCCCTGAACAGCACCACTTTCACTGGAAGAGGAAAAGTTAGTCCTCTGAGCCAATCTGGCCTCTATGTCTTTGTATAGTGCTTTTAGACTAGTGGTTGTAAACCCTTACAGACTATATATCCAGTGAAGTGACTGGCCTCACGTAATAAACAGAGATGAAACAAATCATCCTACATACGTTGTACCATATATCTGCAGTCTTTTCTTTCATACAGCCATTCAAAGTCCAACACTTATTCAACTTGTTTGAGCTTTTAGAAAGAAGGGGCGGGGAGCTGAAGTTATACTCTGCAGAGTTCAGTGAGAGCTGATTAAAGGGAAGGCATACAACCACCTTCGAACAGCACACAGGAACAAAGCAGAGGCTGTCGATCACAGGCTGTGTGCTGGAGCTCCTTCCCTTGTCAACTTTTTCTCTCTTGGTGTCAGGGAAACTTGTCCGAATTGCAGATAGCAGAGGAACGAGGCAGCGCAGGGCAATGACACTTCGTGCTCTGGATTGAGACAAGTACACACTACAGAGGAATATGCTTTGTTCATATTTCATGTCTGAGGTTTGCAACCACTTTAAAGGCTAGGTTAACCTTGTTAGGCAGAATTTCACTTACAATAAGATTAGAAACTACACTCTCTGACACTCAAAGTTGCATCAAAGTAGTGTTGGAACCTTTTCAAAGTCACGTGGATTTGAAGGGGTTCCATTGCCATCAATGGACAGTGACTTGATGCTACTTTGATGCGACTTTCGCTGGCACTCAAAGTCACATCAAAGTCGAACCTTTTCAAAGTTGCTGTGATTTTAGGTCGCATAGATTTAAGGAGTTCCATTGCCATCAATGGGCTGTGACTTGTCATTGCCAAAAAAAAAAAAAAAATGCGAAACGCTAAACGCATCAAAAATATGTGTTAAAAAAAGGCAAAATGCACTGCAAAACACACCGGAAAAACACATAAATCGCAACACGCATAGGTGTGAACCAGTGTGAAGTCAGCTTTTAAGTCTACTATATTTAAATAAACCACATAAAAAGAGTATTTTAGATTTTATTTGATCATATAATGTGAAAAATCTTTTTCTGAGTATATTGTAACATCCCACAGTTTTTTTTTTTAGAAGGATCAATCTTCTCTATTTGCATGAATGGTTCAAAAGCTCAATATGATTTTGCCAGGGGATAGACAGAACTTCAAATCTGCATATCTGCGGAAAATGTGGAGAGAAAACATATTAAAAGCATATACAATCATATGTGAACTGCAAAACCTATAAAACCCTACAATGAGTAGTCAGATCTCATGAGAAGATGCTTCAGGACTGCGCTGGAGCAAATCTTTTGAGATTCAGTCTCCTCTGCATTCCCTCCCCCCCCCACCCGGATCTTGTTCGAATGATGGTGATGTCACCCCCTGCATTTTCATGCAGTATTTTGGCATGGAGAATTTGTCCTGAAAAACCCCCATCCATCGTTGCTCACCAGCAGAGGTAGTGAGTCAGTCAACAGTAAATGAGCGCATACAAGCTTTGGACAAACATATATATTTACTCAGGCCAAAATAAATATATATAAAATAATTAAATATATATATATATATATACACAGTGAAGGAAATAAGTATTTGATCCCCTGCTGATTTTGAATGTTTACCCACTCACAAAGAAATGATCAGTCTAAAAATCGAATGGTAGGTGTATTGTAACACTGAGAGACAGAATAGCAACAAAAAACTCAATTGAAATGCACGTCTAACAAATTATGCACTGATTTGCATATTCATGAGGAAAATAAGTATTTGATCCCCTATCATTCAGCAGGATTTCTGGCTACCAGGTGTCTTTCATACAGGTAACAAGCTGAGATTAGAAGCAGTCTCTTAAAGGGAGTGTTGCTAATCTAATTTTGTTATCTGTATAAAAGACACCTGTCCACAGGAGCAATCAAACAATCAGATTCTAAACTCTCCACCATGGCAATGACCAAAGAGCTGTCCAAGGATGTCAGGGACAAGATTGTAGACCTACACAAGGCTAATTTGTTAGACATGCATTTCTTTTGAATGTGTTGTTGCTATTCTGCCTCTCAGTGTTACAGTACGCCTACCATTCGATTTTTAGACTGATCATTTCTTTGTGAGTGGGCAAACATTCAAAATCAGCAGGGGATCAAATACTTATTTCCTTTACTGTGTATATAATATAAACAAAAAATATATATATACAAATATATATTTTTTTTTTTTTTTGTGACAGACTACATGGACCACTTGGTCTTTTTTTAAGCCATCCCTCTGCTGTGTTTCTACCTGACCTGCAGTTCCTCACCGCTCCTTTCTCCTCCACATCTGCCACTGAAATGACTGCTGTTGGTGACTTTAGAGAGCAGTGATGTCACTCCCCTGGTCATGTGACACTATTCAGGCCTAGTGACTGGCTGCTAGACCAGAGCACTGTCACAGGTGAGCAAGTCACATGTTCCTTCATGCCTGCAAACACCAAGCATTATGGACAGCTGCAGAGGAAAAGGTGTGGAGCACTCTTTAGGTGAGTATAAGGGGGTTTGGATGGGCACGAGGCCTTTGCATAGACATTATCAAAGTGCTCTTCATGGGTAGGGTGACAGTGTCTCTTTAAGTTGTTTTTTTACAGCTAGCTTTAATTTTTCACATTTTTATTCTAGCAACCTCCATTCACTTTGATTAAACAGAATACAGAACACCTTACATACATCATATATGATATACTGTACTAGTAGTAAGAAACATTTTACTATTGCAGCTCTTACCTTTGTTTGATGTGCCTCATCTGGGTATGATTCTGTTTCATAATTGTTACCGGAGCTCATAGTAACTTCAACTTCCATCCTATATTTTGTGCCAGAAACCACCTAAAGCAGAGTAATCAAAACTGATAAATACAGATGAAATTTTTTAATTACAGTCATCACAGAACTTAAATTCTATGTGAAGCCAAAAACTTTTCTAGTTTTGAAAAGAGTGAGGAAGAATTAGAACCCTTGTCTGATTTTTATATGCAAACTGGGGCTCATTAAAGATATTTTTCTTCACTTTCTGTCTTGCTTACAAAATTGAAGCAGACAGGAGTAAAAAAAAAATCTGCAACAGGGAAAAAAAACATAAATAGGACATTTTTCAGGGGTTTGGCTTGTACTATTCTCCTAAAGAAGCCTAGGGTATATTCTTTTGAAATTCAGTTTTGTAAGTTCACTTTTGTAAATTCTCCATCAAGTGAAAATTCTCTGGCTGAGAATAGTATAAAACAACATTGATCACATTAATTTACTGGTCAAACGTTTTAGAACACCCCAGTTTTTCCAGTTTTTATTAAACCTTACACAGTTTAATGCCTCAGTGTACTCTGAAAATAAAGCATAGAACCACAAACAATTGGAAATAAAAGAAATCATGGAATAATTTGCTTTAACAAAATTAAACAATTGAGTACTGTCCATGATACTTTTTTTATTTGCACTAACATACAATTTTGAGGACAAGCTTTTGGGGAATGTCCCCTTCTTCAAGGTCTAAGCAGTTCTTGAAGAAGGGGACATTCCCCGAAAGCTTGTCCTCAAAATTGTATGTTAGTGCAAATAAAAAAAAGTATCACGGACAGTACTCAATTGTCTCTGTCGCAAAATGCACTAATACGGCTACAATCAACTTTAACAAAATGCAACCCAATTTTTTGACTCATCAGACTCCATACACACAATGCAGTTTAATAACACTGGTAACATTAGCTGTGCAAAGCTACAGTAAAAATGTGAGTTTTTCAGCAGTTTTCAGTGTTTTTTATGAGCATTTTTTCACATTTGCGTTTTTAAAAAAAAATTTCCAAAAACGCTGGTTTGCCACGATTTACAGCGTTTTACCGTGTTGTGAGTTTTTCAGCGTTAGAGTGATTTTACAGCTAAAAAAACTCCTCTAGAAACCCACTAGACTAGTTCTTGAGTTTTTTTTCCAGCCAAAAAACGCCCCTGCCAAAAAATGTTGATTACAGTCTATGTGTGCATGGACACATAGGATAACATGCTGTGGAGTTTACTGGCTGTAGAAAAAAATGTCAAAAGCCAAAAACAGCAGCTGTAAAAACGTCCAGTGTGCATGAGGACTCAATGTAGCCACCTTTTGTAGATATAGCATCTGAAAACACTTATTCTGAAAGTTCTTCCAAACACTGTTGCTGAAGTTCCCACAAATGTGTTGCACTTGTAGCTTGCTTTGCTTTCACCCTTCTGTCCAGTTCATCTCAAACCAGCTCCATGGGGTTTAAGTCTGGAGGCTGGCTATTCCATGATTTGAAGCCTACCATCTGGTTGTTTTCTTCTAAAGTAGTGATGACACAGCTTGGAGGTTTGTTTTGGGTTATTATTCTTGCTGTAGGGTGACCCCCTCCCCCCCCCCCCCCCCCCAACTAGGTGTATACCAGAGGGCATTGCATGGCACTGTGAAATACTGCGGTAGTAGTTTTGGTTAAGATTATTACTCATTCTGTGCAAGTTGCTGACTCTGGATCCAGCAAAACAGCCCCAGACCGATACATTTCCTCCTCCATGTTTGACATTTGGTGTCACACACAGGGGCGTATTTACCACAAGGCAAACAAGGCACTTGCCTAGGGTGGTATTTTTCAGGGGGGCAGCACCTCCCCCCAGAAGAAGGGATGAAAGAAGGGACACACGCACCATGGGAACCAGATGGGATCCGAGAGAGGCTGCAGGCTGCTTGATGTGAAGAGTGTCTATTGCTGGGGGGGGAAGTAGCGGAAGGCTCTACCAGGTGGGGGGCAGGGGTGTTGTTGGTCAATTCAATTGCAGGCTCTCTCCACGGGGTGGAGGAAGGGAGGGTTGTGTTGGTCGGTGTCCGGGAGGCAGATGATTTTTGTGTTGCCTAGGGCAGCACAAAACCTAAATACACCACTGTTCACACACCAAGGAACCACGCCTTTCACCTACTCAACACCATATAAAAACCCTGCGTGATGAACTGAAGATTTTACATTTTGATTCATCGGTCCAAAAGACCTTCTTCCAGTCCTCAGTAGTCCACTAGCGGTGCTTCATAGCCCAGGCAAACTTCTTTTTCTTAATGTGCCATCTTAGCAATTACTTTCTTAAAGCCAATGGACCTGTCAAACCTGGAACTTGAAGTCTTCTCTTCACAGTTGAAACTGAGACTTGCTTACTTCGATCGGTGTTACGTTGTGCTTGAAGCTGTTGTCCTGTGAGGCGACTGTCACGTCATGGAGCTCCGCTTTATGTTTACCTTTTGCCTTGCCCTTCATGATATTGGTATACAAAAAAGAGACACCAGCAGCTGCCTCAGCTTGTCTGTAAATTAGCTGGTCCTGATCAGGGGAGGACTGACAACTCATGGAGCCCACGGGCAATAGGGCACCTGTGTCCTCACCCACACTCAAACCACACCCAAAAAAGCCCATGAAAGGTACCAGGGACATCTCATGGGGCCCCTACTAACCCGGGCCCTCGGGCAGTGCCCGAGTTCCCGAATGGTCAGTCCGCCCCTGGTCCTGATACAAATAAAATACCATGCCCTGGTTGTGATGAAAGCAGATCATGTTCTGGCAGATTTGTAAGACTTGCACGTGTAAGTAGAGAAGAACTTGACAGAACTATAACACAGACAAAGGTCAGGAAAGGTGGATGGAAAACAAAGTGTGTCATCCAGAAATTCAGCCAGGGTTGTCAATAAATCTGAAACATGAAAAAATAGCAAAGCAACAGGCTTTTAGCCATGAGGCACGAAATGTGCATTTTTTTTTAGAAACAACTTTCCCATCCAATACTTCAACAGGACAATACCACAGTTATGTTTAAGTGGAATCTAACCAGATGGAAATAGTCATTTATCTAGAGCTTTCTGCGCTCTACTGTCCATAAATGACTGTAGGCTACCTGAGGCAAGGTGTCTAAAAAAGAGTTGGCACCAGCCTAATATAAGCCATGCATAGACTTTTCCACTTCACATGTTATGTATTGATTGGTAACTAACTGCCAGCCACCCCATTCAAGATTCCTTCTAGCTCCATGGTCAGATGAGGGGATTTGCTAAGCTCTGAGCTGTGACACCAGCCACTCTATCAAAGAAAAGGAGTATTGTGTGTTCAGCAGGGCTGCTGTCAGAAACCACGGGGCCCCGTACAGTCAACGCGAAAGGGCCCCCAAATCAACAAAGTTTACTATGCTTCAGTTATGAATGAACACAGTGATTGACTGGTACTAATCACTCATTGTGTTCATTCAGGAAAGGAAGGGGCTGGTAAATATGACATGTTTACGGACTCTTACTCCATTCTTCATCCTAAAGATCCTATAGTGTTTTTGCAGCTGGGAAAGAGAGAAGAGAAAAAGGGTGGAGCACACGGGGGGGGGGGGGGGAGCTTGGGCAGCATGGGGAATGTATGGTTCATTGGGAGGTGCTGCAGAGAGAGCCATACAGGGGATCAGTTCCAGTAATTGCCCCCCTCACCCCGTAATGTCTGCTTTCCTTTAAGTTTGTTTCAACTTGGTAGATTTAGCCCCAGTTCACGCTCCTGTGACTTATTATGTGACATGCAACACATAAAGTGGCACGAAACGTCAAACCACATTAATTTCAATGAGTGCCATTAATCAATGCGACTCAGTTTGCAGTGACAAAAAAAAAAAAAAACAAAAGGTTCCTGCTCTATTTTCAACAACTTTGGCGCGATATCAGTGCCATAGACTGCAATGTTAAGGCACAACAGTTGCAAGCGAGTCACATGACTTTGGAGTTGCAGCAGTGTGAACCAAGCCTATTTGCCCTGTTGGCCATTGGCACTGGAATAGCAAAAAAAAAAACTAATATTTTTGAGTTGTCACCAGAACAAGATATAAGTGTTAGGCTCCATGTACACGGGACATTTGGAAAACACTTCTGAACGATGGAAACTGACTGCTGGAAAATGTAGTTTAAAAAAACATCTGTTTAGCCGCGTTTGCATACCGCGTTTATGCACGTGTATGTGCATTTGTGTTTAGAAGCATTTTTAAAGATAACATCAGGAGACCTTCCAAAATGCCCAGAATGCACTGAAAATCAGTAAAAAATTAACTATTTCAGACATTTTGAGACAAATAGAGAGAGCAGAAGTAGACAGAGCAGTATGTGTTGAGATGACCTGTCTTTTCTGGTTGTATTCACTATGGATCCCATCATGAGCATAATGCAGCACGTTCTACCAATTTTTCCTTCACACAAAATCTGGAACTGACTGCGCTGGTGTGCTAGGTCCATTTGAATACATGGAAAATGCTTTGCCTGCATTTCTAATGATGAAAAAAGGCTCTGGACAGCATTTGGATATGGAACAGTTAAAAAACGCTTATAAACGCAAACGCTTATAAACGCGGTTAGCCGCATTTACACACATTTACAAGCATTTGTTGTTTGAAACGCTGATAAAATCTACTCCTGAATGCAAGTTTGGTGCATTAAAAAAACAACTGTAAACTCAACTGCCTGTAATGACATAGTGTACATGGACACATAGGAAAACATTAGGGAGAGTTCAGGGGCTACTGAAAAAAACACAGAAAAGCTCCTGAACGTGAGTTTATCAGCTGCAGTGTACATGAACCCTCAGCCTTCCCAATGTTTCAGTGACAATTGTCAATGAGGGGAGTTCCCTTCATTTTTTAGAGATTTCCTTCACTTCTTGTTGTATCCCTGGGACAGAAAGTAAAGGGAAGTCTTCCCAAGAGGCCAGCAAAAATAAATTGACAGGGCCTTTAAACCCTTCCTTACTGTATCCAAAACTAAAATAAGAGTTTTTAGTAGACATGTACTTTAAGTCACAAAAAAAAATAACATTTTACAATGATATGGGATATTCTCTAAAATATCTCTAGACAAGAAACAAATACCTTAATTTGTGATCATTCCTGATTACATGTGTCACTAAAGTAAATAGTTCAGAACAGAATACAAGCACACACTAACCTGTCTTTTGAGTTTTATAGTCCTGATGATTTTGACGATGTATCCATTGTTGCTGATTTTGTTAAATTCTTCCCGTGCAAAATTCAGAGCAGTCTGGACACCCTGATTATCCTCATTAACATCATTCCAGCCTCCAACTTTTCTTCTCTGATATTGTGCAAATACTTGTACAAATAAAGCCAATGTAAGTGCCATACATATCTTCCAGTACATAGCCATACTGAAGGGTTCTTATTTCTTTTTCTGAGAGTTCAAGTCTGATCCTAAATGGCTGTATCCAGATGTTTTGAACAGAAGCAGACGCACCAGTATTTAAACAGTGGGATCCCAGTACTTTTCCTAATCCTTCTTATGAATCACATGTTTGGCAAGCAGTTTAGGAGGGTTGTCAATGGAAACATTTACAAATTTCAGGGGGAGTGTAACATATCCTCCTCCAATTCCTAAGGAAATCAAACTGCCCTTGTGACTCAAGAAGGAATGAGCTGTTTCTAATTACTTTACAGTATATGGTGAACAGCCATAACTTTATGACCACCCGCTTAATATTGAGTAGGTCCCTCTTTTGCTGCCAAAACCTTATTGTATTCTACAGGTGAAACTCGAAAAATTAGAATATCGTGCCAAAGTTCATTTATTTCAGTAATACAACTTAAAAGGTGAAACTAATATATGAGATAGACTCATTACATGCAAAGCAAGATAGTTCAAGCCGTGATTTGTCATAACTGTGATGATTATGGCTTACAGCTCATGAAAACCCCAAATCCACAATCTCAGAAAATTAGAATATTGTGAAAAGTCTGTCTCATATATTAGTTTCACCTTTTAAGTTGTATTACTGAAATAAATGAACTTTTTCACGATATTCTAATTTTTTGAGTTTCACCTGTACTTTAAAGTTAAACTCCAGGCAGACATTTAACCCCTTGCCTACCAGGCACATTTACCCCCTTCCTGCTCAGGCCAATTTTCAGCTTTCAGTGCTGTCGTACTTTGAATGACAATTGCACGGTCATGCAACACTGTACCCATATGAAATTTGTATAATTTTTTTGAGACAGAGCTTTCTTTTGGTGGTACTTTATTTTTTGCTAAGCAAACTAAAAAAACTGAACATTTTGGAAAATAAAAAAGGTTTTTTTTCTTAGTTTCTGTTTATAAAATGTTGTACATAAGTAATTTTTCTCCTTCACTGATGTGCGCTAATGAGGCTGCAGTGATTGGCACTGATAGGCTGCACTGATGGGCGCTGATAGGCAGCACAGATGAGAAGGCACTGGTAGGTGGCACTGATGGGCATTGAAAGGCATCACTTGTGAGCATTGACAGGCATCACTGATGGGCACTGAAAGGCAGCACTCATATATAATACTGATGGGCACTGATAGGTGGCACTGAATGGTACTGATAGGTGGCACTGATTGGAACTGTTTGGTGGCACTGATTGGAACTGTTAGTCAGCACTGACGGGCACTGATAGGCGGCACTGACTGGCACTGATTGGCACTGATAGTTGGCACTGAAAGGCAGCTCTGACGGGCACTGATATGTGGCACTAGTGTGTGCTGATATGTGGCATTGATGTGCACCGATGGACACTGGTATGTGGCATTGATGGGCGCTTACAGGTGGCAATTATGGGCACTGACAGGTGGCACTGACGGGGCTACACTGATCATCAGGGCACTGGTGATCAGCACCCTGATGATCAGTGTACATGTCCCCTCTGAGGAATGCCGATTACTGGCACTCCTGTCCTCACGTGCTCTCATTGAGCACTCAGGTTTTTTTTAACACATATTCTGATTGAAAGGCTCACAATATAATGGTGCTCTTTGCACTTGTTCAGTAGTCAGGTGGAAAAAGCACCATATTGTGGGAGGTAGTTTACTGTTTTTTTTCAATCTTTCAATTAGAATATGTGTTATAAAAAGCTTTGAGTGGACTGCCTAGCACAATATGGTGCCCTTCGCAATGCTTAGGTAAGGTTGCAGAGTAAGGTTGGCTTGGCTATTATCAAGGGTTAGGTTTCACACTGATGCATTTTTCCTGCATTTTTGCCTTGCTAAAAATAGAAGACAAATACAAGAAAAATATTTCCCTTTAAATCCTATGGGACTCTTCACTACTGTGCTGCTGGTGCAGTGCGTTTTGAAATGTCCTGCATGCTGCCTCTTTGGCGCGCTTTTGCAGCATAAAGTGTTACTAAACCCATGACCCTGCATTTACTATATCTGGTCTCCCACAGTACACACTACATGGAAATGCAATCATTTTAGTAAATATAAACCGCCAAATACCTTTTCTCATCAGCAGTTAGAGCTGTATTGTAACTTCAGCAGAGCACTAGTTAAAGCTTGTAGGAGGAGTTTTCTTTCTGCTCTAGGAGGATGTGAAACCCCTGACCTCTGTATGGACAGTGCTTATTGGCCCATTGCTGATCACATGCACTCTACCAAAAAAAAAAACACACCTCTCTAGCAATACACACCAAACTGAGCATGTGTATGTGACCACGGATTCAGTCTGTATCAGGTGGTCATTTCAACAAGAGGAGAGGCAAAGAGGAAAGGATCAAACAGCCTTTTTTACACAATGCAGAGGATTAACCCCTTAGGTACCATAGTGAGTATAACAAGCATGCTTTACTGTGTATACTGACTGATTTTACTGATGTGGGTTTAGTAACACTTTAAGGGGAAGTGGTTTGGGGGGTGGTAAAGATACAGCCCAGTTGCAAGCTGAACCTCCCCCCCTCCCCTGAAAGAAAAATGATCTACGGCCTTGTTGCCAGGACAGTACAAATACCTCCCAAATGACCCCTTTTTTGGAAAGTAGACAGTCCAGGGTAAGAGTCCAGGGTAAGGGTAAGAGGTAAGCTTTTTCAAGTTGTAATTTTTTTGCCACTATTTTTGGGAAAATGAATAAATGACCAAGGAGTTAGCAACTTTAACCCTTACTTACCAAGTCAGTTCCCCCCAGCGTCAGAATGCCCACCGCAGTCCCGCTATAAGTCACTGATCGCCATCATTACTAGTGAAAAAAAAAATCCCAGTATCTATACCGCCATTTGTAAACACTATAACTTTCACATAAACCAATTAATTTACACGTATTGGGATTTTTTTTTAGCAAAGATGTAGCAGAATACATTTTGTCCTAAATTTATGATTACATTTTTTTTTTAATACTGGATATGTTTAATAGCAAAAAGTCAAAAATATATTTTTTTTCTCAAAATTGTCAGTTTTTTTAGCGCAAAAGATAAAAAACACACAGGTGATCAAATACCACCAAAAGAAAGCTCTATTTGTGGAAAAAAAGATGTACATTTCATTTGGGTGCAGCGTTCCATGAATGTGCAGCTGTCAGTTAAAGTAACACAGCGCCGTAACGCAAAAAATGGCCTGATCTGGAAGGGGGGTAAATCCTCTGGAGGGCAAGTGCTTAAAAGGCTAAAAATCAAATCTATGTGGTTAACTACTTGCCAACCGCAGATAGCCAAATGACGGCTACACTGCGGCCGGCCAGTTCTGGGAGGGCATCATATAACGTCCTCCCAGAACGCACTCTCTCTCGCGCGGCCCCGGGGGCACACACCCGGCGATCTCCGTGATCGCTTTGTCCTACGGACACAGCTGATCACGTGATGGAGTAAAAGGCCAATCACAGCAGCCTTTTACCACGTGATCAGCCGTGTCCAATGACACACCGATCACCGGGAAATGCAATTGCCGATTCTCGGCTGTACTTTCCTTGCGCTGTCAGAGCGCGAGGAAAGTACTGCCGAGTACTGGCAGTTGTCAGAGCAGGGATCGGCACCCACCAGTGCCGCCCACCTGTGCCCAGCAGTGCACCCACCTGTGCCCACCAGTGACACCCACCTGTGCCCACCAGTGCCACCCACCAGTACAGCCCAGCAGTGCTGCCAGTCAGTGCCACCAATCAGTGCCCAGCGGTTGTGCCAGTCAGTGCCCAGCAGTTGCGCCAGTCAATGCCTAGCAGTGCCGCCAGTTAGTGCCCAGCAGTGATGCCAGTCAGTGCCACCTATCAGTGCTGTCTATCAGTACCCATCATCAGTGCCGCCTATCAGTGCCACCTATCAGTGCTGCCTATCTGTGACACCTCATTAGTGCTGCCTATCAGTGCCGCCTATCCGTGCCACCTCATTAGTGCCGCCTATCAGTGCCGCCTATCAGTGCCCATCAGTGCCACCTATCAGTGCCCATCAGTGCTGCCTCATCAACGCAGATCAGTGAAGGAGAAAAATCACCTGTTTGAAAAATTTTATAATAGAAACAAAGAAACTTTTTTTTTTCAAATTTTTTGCATTTTTTTTGTTTGTAGCGCAAAAAGTAAAGTGCCCAGCAGTGGTTAAATACCATAGAAAGAAAGTTCTATTTGTGAGAAAAAAATTATAAAAATTTCATATGGGTACAATCTTGCATGACCGCGCAATTGTCATTCAAAGTGCAACAGCGCTGAAAGCTGAACATTGGCCTGGTAAAGAAGGGGGTATAAGTGCCCGGTAGGCAAGTGGTTAATGGCCAAAGTTAAAAAACTATAGATAACAAGAAAAGAGCTTTTATTAAATATAAAAATTAAGGAACACTATCATAGTTTAAACATTACAAAGAATATAACAGAATATGCAAAAAGGAAATAAACCGCAACAATTTAAAATGAACGATTGCAAAAGATAGCAGGATAAACCCCAAAAAATTATTCAATATATATTAATAGTAAAAAGGTCAGGTCCGAGCATGTAGGCCCTTTACAAAATAATCTAGAGTGGATGACTGGGGACAAAGAGAAGGCAAATTTATTTAATACCTTCTTCAGATCTGTGTATACAAAGGAGCATGGGGGAGCTCTTGTCCATAATGGGCATGGTATTGACAGAGCTCCAAATGATCCACATTGGCTCACAATTGATATGATCCAAAAATATTTAGACAGAATAAAGCACCTGGACCGGATGGCATACACCCACGGGTCCTTAAAGAATTGAGCTCTGTCATTTTAAAGCCATTGTTTCTAATTTCTAGGGACACTTTAATGACTGGCATAGTACCACTGGATTGGTGTAAGGCCAATGTGGTGGCAATATTTAAAAAGGGGTCAAAATCTTTACCAAGTAATTATAGACCTGTTAGTTTAACTTCTATTGTTGAGAAGATACTAGAGAGTTTAATAAAAGTCCACATAGATGAGTT